GGGAAAAATGAATAGAGAGGTAGGAAATAGGAATGTTAGGAGAGTCCAGGTAAAAAGTTTGTTATAACTTCTGTGGATATTACAAGGGGGAGGAAAAGCTGCTTGTAAAGCAGTCATTGTAATATCAATGATGGTAAGAGAGAGAATTTTCCAGGCATGTTTCATGCTAATGAATTTGCCACAAAGGGTATTCATTTGTGATGCTGTGGTTAAAATTCCTGTATGTTGCACAGAAAATATACTTCTGATTTAAGTGCATTTAAACTATCAGAAAGATGCAGTATGTTTTATAGTGATGTATCAAGGTGGGAGATTTATTACAAAAAAGTTTTACATTATTATTTTGTTTAATTGTAAATACAATAGTAGAAAAGCTTCAGAAATAAAGACAGTAGTGTATCTGTCAGCATGGGTCTAGAGTCTCAGTTTGGAATATCTGATAGGGTAGAATTAAAAAAATCATTTTGTAGAACAAGATCTTTAACTGTGGGAAAAGAATAGTATTGAAATGGGATGATTGAAGAGATTGCAATTGTTTATTGGGTAAGGAAGACGAGAAGAAAGGTCAGTGTTTAAAATGGATAAAAGTGGATAAAATTGGGATTGTCATCATTTGTTCTGCCATTGTAATGACTGAATTCATGAAGAACTGAGAAAAATTAAGTGTGCATCACAGTTTGTTAAAAAGAGAGACCCCTTCATATACCACAGATTGGAGCTAAATGGTGGTACTTGTGCCAGCAAAATCATTATAGCTCTAAACATAACAAGAACTTGAGAAAGGATGGGATGTCCTAAATAGCTGGATTCTTGTTATCATTACTACTTGTAATTGATTGTGGTAGCAAAGACTGTAAGTGATAGTTATCCTTTTGATTTTCGACTTAGTCCAGTTGTGAACTCGATGATTTGAAGGCAAATCCATCATATCTGTGCATTCCTGGTTTGGGGATCTTCCTCTGAGGCATCTTGTAGCGATCACAGCTGGATTAGATTCACCTTCAGAAGGGCAATTCATGCAGTTTTAATTACCCAAATGAGGCCTCTGCCCAGAGGCTGGGTGAAAGTAACCTGTTTATGTGAGGATGCTTTCTAGGCTCAGTGGAGATAATGAGTACAATGGTGCATCGTTGAAGTCAACACACTTTTAGGAAGTGTTTGTACACTAAATAACTGAAATAGTAAATTTCTGTCAAAGGAACTGTGCTAGAGAGATAATACAACTAATGTGCTAATTAAAAGGAAAACATCTATTGAGAGACTATTCACAGCATGTAGATTATGGGCGATGATGATCAGGTACATAACATTGTATTACACTTCTAAACTAGTGTACTACTGATCTGGTTTTGTATGAGAGATTACACACACCTTAAGGGAGCAGCTGGTTTTAACTGCTTTTCTTTAATGGAAATGGTCTAGTGATTTCTGCAGGTAGGGATGAAGGGACTGGGGATGGAGGCTGCCAAGCTCAGTTGCAAATGAAAAACCTTGTGACTTTTTATTTTTTGTTGTGTGTTCTTCAAGAGAAATAAGTTTCTTTCTTTTCCACCACCAAGGATCCGATGTTCTTTGCTTGAGCTCCTAATCACTTAGAGCTGTAAGGAAGAGACTTCTTGAAGGATACACTGAATCTTAACCCCAGGCCGGGCTGGGTCAGTGTTTCCTCCCTCCACCTCAGAGTAGTTTGTACTGGCAATGGGGCAAGGAAGGCTGTGTTGTTCATGGTGAGCTTTCTGTCATTGGGATCCCATATGGAGTATTCTGGCAGGGGGAGTGCATATGAAATATGAATTAGGTATTTTTTTCATCATTTCTGAGACTATACTTCATCTGCAAAGGAACAGTAGGGTTCTTTCTGCTGTGAATTATGGCATAAATTATTTCTGTGCATTCAGATTATATTTACCCTCTGTGTGAATTTACTGGGGTGGTCTACTGATGCCATTAATACCTTAATGTGCAATAATGGCTAAGCAAATGAGAGAATAATAGATTAGTGACAGCAGTTCATATGTTATTCAGGAGATGTGGGCAGTTTCATTTTAGGGAAACAAGGGATGTAGGAGAACATGATCCAGATCAAGAAAAGGTTTAGACAATATAACCATAGTATTTCTATCTCCTTTTCCTCATGTTTTACAGTAAATAAAGGGCTATGAAGAAAGCAGGAATTATAATATACATAGATATATTTTTGCATATGTAGATGTAAAATATATATCTGACAACTGCTTTTATATATGTATGTATATATAAAACGTGTATATATGCAGATGTGAAAAAATTGTTATCCATGGCTATCCAAGGACAAATTATTCTGCCACTGTGAGCTGTCTTACAGAAAAATCTCAAATAATATTTTGCAGAAGAAAATGCCAAAAATTATTAAGTAAAACTAATTAGAATCTCCCAGAGAACATAACTTAACTAGAGAGGGAAATTTCTAGAATATTTCATGTCTACCATCAGGATGCTTGAGATTTTCTGTTGTAAGACTGTAAGGAGATTTCTGAGAAGCAGCACAGAAAATCCTTTCCCAGAGGCTCAGGGGCTGATTCCATTTGTGTTCTCGAGCTGATGTGATCCACTTTCTCACATTTTTTAAACGTGGTCAGTTACTGAGAGATGCCGAAATGCCGGGTAATAAAACTCAAATGGGTGAATGATTTCTCTGAATACTGTAGTTCACTTTCAGTGCCTTTACCCTTTTCCTCAGACAAATAAAGCAAGAATTTCTCTGAAGATGCTTTTTGCATCGGATGTTACAGTCGGATTCTGACGTCAAGACAGGATGCTAATCAGAGGGAAATCAGATGGGATTGTAGGGGCTGTTAAAATCCACAGAATATCATTAAAATGGTTTACCGTGGATGTAAACCAGCTTAATTAAGCTAATATATTTGTAGTTTGTGTGTATTTGTAGACATTTATGCCACCAGCCAACAAGAAAACTTGAAAACCTTAATTTTCATGATAAGTTTAGTAATTTTAACATATATGTAATGTCAACATGTACTCTACCTGCGTAAGTCAGAAAGTATGGAGCTACCAATCACTCCATATTTTTATATTTATTTTGGTTTGATTTTGACCTTTCTATTAATAAGTTTAAGGTTAGCTTGATAATAGGACTAAACCAAAACTATAATCAATCAAACTGTTTTTGTTAAATGTCTCCTGCTGAAATTGCACATGATTAAAATTTACATTTTCTTTAAAAGTAACTTTGTTTCATTTGTCATGTTAGAGCTCTTCATTTATTAAAAAAAAAAAAGGCAAAAAAATCTCTAGACTGAAGTGCACTTAAGAAGCTCATTTTTATGACTGTTGAGTTCCTTGCTTTTGACTAAACCAGTAAATTTCTGATTACTACATTAAATATTAGAAGGCAGGTAAAATATGCTCCTAACTAGGAGGGTTCAGGCCAATTTGGTGTTGATGAAAGCGAGCTGACTTTTCTAATGCCAGCCTTTTTATATTCTTTTTAAGCATTGCCACTAAATGCATTGTTTCTTGAGAAGCATCCACCTGGTGATAATTCTTTACCTGGGGTTTGGCCACTCTCTGCTGGCCCATTTACAGGTTAACCTTGGGGTGAAAGAGAGCACAGCTCCTCCCTCTTCCATCACCTTCCTTTAATTCATGAGCTCTAGGAATAAATCTTAAGTGGGGCCCAGTTTTACTTTCTGTAGATGTGTGCATACATCCCATATCCAGAAAATTATTTAGCAACTGGATGTGAGACTGGAGAGGCTAATCTGTGAAAGAGTTGTAATACTTTAAAAAAATCTGGTTAACTTCCTTATTAATAGAAGGCACTTAATCGTGTGTTTTATTTAGTCTACGAACTTCCATTGTAGAGCTTTATTCTGACAAATTTATAGAGGAAGAGGAGAAAACATAAGCTGATTTTATACAAAATAAAACTACTGTTTTAGGAACACAGACCACAGATCTGGTTTCTCTGTGAATTAAGAAATTAATTAAATAATTGGCAGTTACACTGCCAGCGACTTCAGTTCTGGTTTCAGCCCAATGTAATGAAGCTCAAATTACTTTGCTTTTCAAAACCTCTGAAAGCCTCAGAGACCAGTGAATATTTCCCTCTATTTTTTTTACTGCCCTGTTCATTACTGTAGGAAACAAATACATAAGCAGAAATCAGCCATCAAGTCTGTGCTTCCTGAGAACCCAGGGGGACTCCATGTGCTTTAAAAATGTATGAGACTTTGTCCACTGAGTCGTTATTAACTGCTAAAGGTCACGTGCTTTGACATTGTTTCTGAAAGTTTTACCTTTAAACCCGGTGACCTCCTGATTTTGGTACTGATGCACAATTTCTTCTTGAATATGGTGGAAAAAGGTAGAAAAGAGTTACAATGCTCACCAGGTCTATCTTGATTTCTTCAGCAGATATTAAATTGCCAATTGCACCAAATGTAAAAGTGCAAAGCTGGTGCCAAGGTTTCGTGTTTCGTGGGTTTGTGTTTTTTCACTGTGTCTGTGGAAGGCTTGTGTATGAGCAAATGAGCTTTACAGAGAAAAAATTCCTCTTTTCTAGTAATCAAATGCACAGCTTCAAAGCTCGTGCTCTGCTCCTACAAATACAAGGTTAGATGCATAGCAAAGCAGGTCATCTCATTAACACTTGTTGCGAGGTTGACGTTAATCACACACCTCAGTGATTAGTTACTTGGGGCCAAAATAGGAACTTAAAATTTGGACACCTTTCCTACCTTTGTTCTCTATATTTGTATATTTGTCCATTTTAGCTGCATTTACTGTGTTTGAGGTTAAGTTTTGCTAGACCAGAGATTTCACAGATTTCACAGAATAGTCTGAGTTGGAAGGGACCCACAAGGATCATCGAATCCAACTCTTAAGTGAATGATACACAGCATAATTAAGTGAAATTAAAAAGGTCTGTTATTTTAAAGCTTGAAATAAATCCCCTGGGTTTTAAATTAATGAATTTTTTTTTTTTATTACCCTTCCAGGAACAAACTTCACCCTTGCAGAACTAGGGATCTGTGAGCCCTCTCCCCATCGCAGCGGCTACTGCTCAGACATAGGAATCCTCCACCAAGGCTATTCCTTGAGCACGGGCTCCGATGCCGACTCGGACACGGAGGGGGGGATGTCTCCGGAACATGCCATCAGGCTGTGGGGAAGAGGGATCAAATCCAGGCGCAGTTCGGGGCTGTCAAGTCGTGAAAACTCAGCTCTCACCCTCACCGACTCCGACAACGAGAACAAGTCAGACGAGGAGAACGGTAGGGCCTGATTCTAAAATACATTCCTAATGTACGCGTGTGAGAATGTGGTCATACTTAAAAATACTCAAGTCTTCTTTTAAAGGTGGTATTTTCACTTTCTCAGTTTGACTAAAGCTGCTTTTTAATGTAGATTTTTTTTTTTAACCATCAGTATCAGGAAGCTCACAGATGCATCATATGATATATATCATGTTTGATCTTACAATTTGCTTTTCGCACCGTGATCTTTCACACAAGTTTGTGCTTGGAGTATATTAAATTAAACTTAATGATCAGAAGCAGAAAGAAATTTCTTAAGAGAAGTAGTTTTTCATATGTGATTTTTCTACACAGCTTGAAGTAATATTAATAATCCACAGTGTGGTGGTAGCTGGAACAGTGATGCTAATTCGTAACAATCAGATTTAATTTGATGTATTTGTTTCATGTTTTTGAAGTTGTAAAAGAATTACTTTGCTGTTTGCATGTTGGTATTGGGGGACTTCTAGAAAACAAACCTATAGATCAGGTTGGGGCAGAACACTTCTGCTTGGTGTGGTTTATTAAGGTCACAGAAATTAATTCTTGGCAGTGCACCACTCACTTGGGACAAAACAGCTCAGCAGTCACTCGAATCAGGTTCTTCATGTGTATCACCTTAAAGTTTTTAGCTGGGGTATTTTCTGCTCTTACATATGTTTCAAGAACTAAAGAGGGAAAATAGTAAAAACGGGTTTGTGTGATTTTTGCCTTCCATCCTGTGGAGCGAGGAAGGTGCAAACTCAGCTTAGTTAAAATAGAAACGAAAGGTTTTGATTCTTGTCTTTCTGAGGAGGTGAAGAGGAACCTCCCTAACATCACACCCTCGGAGCAACTGTTCCAGCAGCTGACACCAGCTCATGAAGGCAGCTCTCTGCTAAGCATATTACTTGTGATAAAATTCAGTTTGATACGTTTTGGGCGCCTCTCAGGAGAGGGTTTTTGTAGGTGTTTGTTTTGGGCTCCTCCCTGTACTTACTGACAGTTGTCTCGGTTTCAACAAAGCTGGTGTGCCAGGCACTAAAAAAACAAGCAACTGCTTGTCATAGCAAACAAGGAAAAAACAAATGACAGTTTATATATTGATAGAAAGAAGTTCAGAAAAGTGCCATTGATTTTGTTTGTAACAGCAGTCCTTTTTTTTTTATTTAAATTGAATCTTCAAGTACTATCTCCTGTAGTAGCAGGATACATTTCTTCATCAAAACCAAGGAGGGAACGTGCATTTACTAATAATGGTTTGTACAAGGAAGCTCATGTTTTAAAAGGAATAAGTGATTGGTTATTTGATTTTTCCTTTTTTCTTTTTAATGGTACCATTCACAGAAAATATGACAACTTTCACTGATTTTTAGTACACTTTTGGTAAGGCTACTGAGCGTAATTTCAAATAGAAAACCTGACTAATAGAATTCTGGCATTATGGAATGATTGGGTTTCAATTCTGTAGCAGAAATTCACTTCTCTGAAGGTGATTGTCTCCATTTCAATGGCAGCAGTGTGCCACACACCTTTTGTCTGAGGAAATGTGATTTCAGGACCTACTTTTGTACAAATTGTCGCAGATATTGATAAAAGAATGAGTCTGTTTGCTTGTTTTTCAATTTCATCCTTATAATAAGTGAATTATTAAGTAATTAGAAATCCAGTGCAGTGAATCCATTTTGAATAGGTAATTTTTCTAACAGTGATGTTAACAGGAGAAAGAAGAACATAATCAGGCAGCAAGCAAGAAACAAGCCAGCATGTGGAATTCGTTTTTACTTGGCAAAGTTTCTGTGAGAAGGGTTTCTCTGTGTTTGGTTGTTTGAAAAAAAAAACCACCACACAAGTCAGAAGCAACTGTTATATTCACAGAGGTGTTAACTTCAGGAAACTTTCTAGCCTTACTCTCCCACGTACCCTGGTTAGCTCAAAAATCGATGCTTCTTCACATGGCTGATTTCATGAAGTTTTGGGATGCATTATCATATAGATTGACAGTTGCCCCACTGGTTCAGCACCGCAGTGTGGACACTTACAAAACCATCATTAATTTCTCACGCTTGTGCCCAGCAGTGGTTTCCTACATAATAAACACTCTGTCCTTCAGAAGCAGATCAATAACCTGCCAGGTGTTTGTCTGGAGAGGAAGTAACAAGAATCTATATTTCAAGAGAAATTTGCACTCTGATATGGTTTGAGATTTGCAGGATACCAGCATAAAACGAGGCATTGCTTAGAATGAGACTTTACCAATTTATCCCCAGCAATATTTGAGGGAACTCATGATGCATAGACCTCTGACTTTATTTAAAGTACTGTTAAGGCTCTTTCCCTGATACAGTTCAAGTGTTGTGTTACGAAACAGTAGTTCAACTCCAAAAGATGATTTTTTTTTTTTAATATTGAGATGCTATCATAATTCCTAGCACTGCATTTAAAAAAACCCAAACAAGATGACCAACACTTTTTTTTTTGGTGTTATTAAATCTGTTTTGTCATTTTTAGCACATCTCCAAGTAGCACAGAGGAGGCCTAATTTCTAAAAATTGCTCTGGCAATATGATTTTGTTCCCATTCAAATCCATTCACAAAGCTTGTGACCATTTTCTGCACTTGTAGATTTAGTATGATTTAATTTTATCATAAACTAGAATGCTGTGAACCTTGAAATACTAGCGGGTCTGAAATGCTTATAGATAAATTGAAATAATGGAAACTCATTAAATTCCATGTTTTACTTGATACACTGCAATTCTTCCTGACAAAACACCTTATTGACATTTGAAAAACAACACTTTTATTTTCAGAAATCTGATTAGGCTCTAAATTCTTATCATATCTCGCAGCTTTTCCTATCTGATCATCTCAAGTTCTTTAGACAAGCCAATGTGAATATGTAACACAAATCTGTCACCAAATTTTTATTCAACATGATGTATTTGAGTTTATTTAAGTAAAATACTCCTTTTTTCATACAAATATAAAAAGTCAGAGATACAGGACACCTCTCATTTCATGTGCCAGCTTTGTAGAGAGAATTACCTCTGGGGACCTAAGGAGTATAGGGGATATACCACAGTTCCTGAATGCTTATTTTTTTTTTATTTTATTAAATCCTGGAACAGTTTATTCCAAAACATTCTGGAAAACTTTCAAAAAGTAGCTTTTTCATCAGCTGTCATGTTCTTTCTTAAGCCTACAGTATTTCTATCTCCAGAGTAAAGCTTAGGTGGTGGTTATATTTAGGGAGTGACCTTGAAACAAGTACCCTTTCAGGCTTCCAGTGCTTTTTTTTTTTCCCCTCTTTTTTAAGAAAGAGAAGAGGTTTTCCTTTTTTTAAAAAAGTTGAATTAAAAATTATGTTCTTCTCAAAAATATAAAACATGGTAAATTAAGGTAAATGTAAAAATCCATGAAAACAGAGTGATCATAATTAAAGGAGCATTTATGTGCAGAATCCTTTTGCAGCAGAACTGCAATCTTCTCTTTTCCTGGCTTCACTATTATTGAATGACCAGTTCCAGGCTATTAGGGAGGCGATTAAATTCAACTGACATTAGGCAGATGGGAGTGAAAAGCTGAACAGACCAATAATAGAGAAGAGAAAAGATAATCCTACGTAGAGGAAAGGAGAAAGGAAAAGTAACACGTGAACTCAGAGCAGGTCTTGGTAAGATTTCAGAGTGCTAAAAGGAACTAGTAGGCTCAAAGTGAATCCAGGAGGAGGGCTTTTGATGTGAATCTAGATTGTGTTCATTCCTCTGTTGTGAAAGAGAAAACATCTGGAATGGTGTCGTGACTTTTTGGGGTTTTTTGAGAAGGTTTTCACCTTGACATTTTTTGTATTGATAACATTATTGTATATAATGGATAGGTAATATGTCTGGTAGAATGTGACAGAAAACAAAATGTTTATAATGAGATTTCTGCATTGATATTATAATACCAAACACTTGAGATGTTTCTGTTTTACATTTGTGTGTCAGAGAAGGAAAAAAAAAAGGGTGTCTTGGGGGATGAGGAGAAGAATTTCCAGGGCTGAAACCATTTTATTAAAATAATGTCAGACCAAAAAAGGTAATCAAGGACTACTTTTATCTTAACAGTAGTGATTGTGAACTGAGCAGCAAGACAAAAATGAATGAGGAGGAATAAAGCAATCCCTCAGGTCAGCAAAACAAGGGAGAGTTCAAGGTCGTGGAATTACTGTGGAAATCTGTGCACGTTTTAAAGAAATCCACAAGAAAACACTGTGGGTTTGGCAGCTCTTTGTAGATAAAACCTGTGAGAAGCAAACACTCCTGTGTTGATACCCAGCTGCACCTTGGGAGGGGTGGGAAAGGGATGTGTTACTGGAATGAACCTGGAGAGTCCCCTGAATCCAGCAGTGCACCTTCCCTTTCCTCACTTCACCTCCTTTCTTCCTGGAGAAGCTTTTCCATCCTCCACTGGAGCCAGCCTGACTCCAGCATCGGGTCTGATGGTTCAAGTCATGTAGAAAGGTGTTGTAGGAAGCTGCCCCAATATTTTCAGGTTCCATATCCATCAGTATTTCCTATTCTAGACCTGTTGGTGACAATGAATTCTACTGTTTTTCCACCTTGGAAAAAAACCACATTTGGTGGTGTTTTTTACTGTAGTAATTAAAAGTTTGAATAACAGGCATATCACTTATTACTGAATGAAGGAGCGCCATGAATAAAAAAAAAATTAAGTTGGAAAAGTATAAGGTAGAATATGAAAAGCTCTATTTATGTTGTACTTCTGGTTGAATCTTATGAAAAATTAAGGAAATTATATTCTTTCTATTTTTTCCTTGCTATGAAGTTTTCAATGGTCATTTCATACACTAATTTCTCAAATTAATCTTAAAACAGAAAAAACACTTCATAATTTAAACTGACCTCACATTTTATCATTGCTTCAATTATATGAGGAGTATAATCCGGGCTTTTTCTTAGGATGTTGAATAACAGACTTACAATAGAAAAAAA